TTTTTTTTTTTTTTTTTTTTCTTTTTGCTCACGACCATGTGTCTGATGAGGTCTGAACTCTAGAATGAACACATAAAAATTTAGCAATTTAAAATCTTTCTTTACTGCAAGTTTAAATAGGTGTACAGATAGTTTATAAGCACAATATTTTAAGAAAAAAAGTGGCTGGTCTACTAGGCAGCCCTTTGTGCCACTTCAGTGCTAGAAAGTTAAAGAAAAAAAAACTTTTGTGATTTAATGATACTATTTCTGTGGGATAATTATACAAGTATGACCTTTTTAAATCAACCTTATCTGGATGCATCTGAACCAGCAGAGCTGTGTTATATTTTCTATCTTTGCTAGAACTTCTTCACTGAAGGACAATTATTTCTTCAAAAGTCATTACAATTTACAATGCAGCAGTTTCTCCAAAAATAAAACCAAAATACACACCCTACACACACACATCCTTGATTTGGAAAGCCAGTCTTCGGACCATGTCTGTTCCAAAACCATTTGCAGGTCAATCTTTGTTTTGAAATGACCCAATCCAGTGGAATCAATCTGAATGTTAAAGTGCTTTACTTCATGTACTTTCTGTTTTCCAAGATGAGATGAATGAGTATTGCTCTAGAAAAAGGTACCACAGGCGGCTGTATTTCAGAAAAGGCAAAAATAATGGTTCTGCCATTAATTCGTCTTCCATTTGATGATTTTGCAAAATTTCCAAGTGCACCACTTTACCAGGCTCTTTTCCTTCGCCTACAGTTGGCATTACCTCCACACACAGTGCCAGGCAGAATACTAGACAGAGACCTGGTGGCTTTGGGTCTACTGACTCAAGCAGCCAGTCAGCAAGAGCAGCTACCACCCCCTCTCTTAATGAAACTTCCAGCCACATACCACTAACCAGAAGCAAGCTGACAAAAGCTTCCAGAAATGACAGAATCTACATTATCACAGAATAGCAGTAGGATGTATCAGAACCTGCACTGACCAACAAAACACACAGGTGTTGCTGATGAGTCCACTCTGGCTCTACCGGACAGTTTTGCTACAGAAAGCAATAGTTCCTGTCCAATCACCGCCCACTGTTCTCCCCTCTGGGACATGTCAGGACCAGGCCCTATCCCAGGACCCTCTTTAATGGTGGAACAAACGTTAAACTGCTCATATAATGATCATGTTAATATTACTCCAGGTTTTACGATCAACTTTTGTTATATACTGTAATTTAAACAAACTGCATTTACATGCCTAGTTTCTGTAATATTGTGTATACAAAACCAAAATCTCTCAAGATGTAAATTATATATACCTGCCAAGATACCTTCTCCAGGGCGTCTGTGCACATTTTAAGTTAATTCATATAATATAAAAATGACTCAATGTGACTGTTGATTTGCTGAATTTTACATATCACAAAGTGAATTATTTGTGGTACTTTGGTTAATAAGACAGTAACTTTTTTCTGAGTTATTGAACAAGCAAACATTATCCAGTTGATCTGGCAATGACTTTTTTGTGTGTGGGCCACATATATTGATTTTTCCCATTAACAATTTGTTTTCGTTTTTTAAATACTAATATGTTTCACACTATAGTTTCTGTAACAACACATGTTCGCATATCTATGTTGCTGTTACTTTTGTGCTTTTATTCTTTTTAGACTTTATTAAAAAACAAGAAAACAAAAAAAGCTCCTGTAATTTGCACTTTCTCCCAATCCTTAAATCTCTTGTATGGCAACCAAAATTACTGTACAAAAAATAAATATACTCTTGCACTAAGGTTGTGGTTCTGATTGCAAACAGTGAGAACTGTCTGAATTAAACAAACAAAAAGTTGCCAAACTGGTGATCTAACATAGGTTATTTGAAACATCACAGCCAGCTTTACCTCTATAAAAATTGACCAGATAGTATCTTTCATCAAAGAGTGAAAATGCTTTCATAGAGCTAATCTACCTTGGTTCCATTTACTTAAAGTATTCTCGGTGTCTGAATGGAAATGTATTATTTTAGAATTGTATCAAACGTCAGAACTGGCTTCTGTGACTACTCCTGTGAGCCCGGGACCAAGGCCTGGCTGGTCCTTCTGTTCTGTGGTGGGAACAGGGCCCCCTGGAGACTGAGCCCGGCCTGGATCTCTCTCCTGGGAGGAGAGGTGCCCCATGTCCCAGTGGGCTGTCTTCTAGCCATAAAGCCCTGGTAGTTGCAGACCTGGGCAGCCTGTCTGGTCAACATAACCCAATGTTTTAATAAGCAAGCAGCATACTAAGGCCTGGAACAAGAAAGAATTTGTGTCCTTTTGGAAAGAACTGAATTAGGAAGACATGCGTTATCGCTTCTGCTTTAGGGAAGTGGCTTTTTTTTTTCTTTTGCAGTATTAGAGACTAAACCCAGGGAGTACTGAGCTATATCCTCAGCCCCTTTTTATTTTGAGACATGGTCTCACTAACTTGCCAAGCTGGCCTTGAACTTGTGATCCTCCTGCCTCAGCCTCCCAAGTAGCTGGGATTACAAGCATGCACCACCACTCCTAACAAGGGAAGTGTATTTTAAACTTAAAAATTGAAACTTGGGCCGGGAATTTAGCTCAGTGGTTCCGCTGCCTGTCTCTCAAGTGCAAGGACCCAAGTTCAATCCCTAGTACCAAAAAAAAAAGAAAAGAAACTCTTTGGTCTCATTAGTGGTAAAAGTCTCTAGTTCTTGAATGGTTTCTTCTATTCTGACATATTCTCCACCTGAACAGCAGCCACTGTGTTTCCATTCACCAAGAAGTCTAATAGTCATGTCTTTGTGGTTTGCCCTGCTACCACCTCCCCATCAAATAGTTAACCACCACCACCCAAGTTCACTGCCCAATGGTTTCTTCCAAACCTTCTTCCAAGTACAGTATTTGTCTTGTTAAAGGGAAAAAATCATTGGAAGGCTTTTTTTTCTTTTACTTGAACACCACCTGAGGTATTTTAATAACCAGTGAGACTGGAATGTGTTTCTATATCTGCAGATATCATGTTCACACCCGAGTAAAAAGCCACAGTGGCTGGGTGGCCCTACAGCTCCATGCTTAGGGGCTGCCCCTGCCTTGGGGGAGGGGAGAACCGCCAACCTTGGTTCTCTGACTGCAGCAGATCTGGTCCCTCCAACTCTTAACCCACACTGTGTCTGTGGCTTTGGCTTTTTATGATTCCCTGTAACATGGTTCTACATCTCATGATCTTTACTGTTTTATGTTTAAAATTACAACAATCCACTGTTCAGTGCTTCTACTCTGGAACTCTGTTTATAGCAATTCTGAAACTTTACTATGAGCCTTTCAAATAAATACAGAAAAGAAAAAAAGAAAAAAAAAACAAAACAAAGTGTGTGCCTTGGGTGTTTTGAACCTGATCTGCATAAAACCATATTGTACTCAAATGCTGTATATTTAATGAAAGGATAAAAATATCTTCAATGTATTAATGTAGCTGATAAAATAGTTCTAGTGCCTTGTTTTCTGAACTGAGAAGCCCATATCAATGCACAACGTAAAGAAAAAAATGACTCGAAAAATGAAATGTTAAGAAGACCTAGAACTGACTCTGGAGCCTTTCTCATCCTGAGACTGTGGGATATACACAGTCATTTAAGTTAAAAAATAAAAAAAAAATTGAAACAAGATTGTGTTATCAATTAATTTTCCATTAAGAGTGCTCTCCACTATCTCACTTTCAGTATTTTCATTTAATTAAAATGCAGTCATATTTGAGAATGTTCACAGAAAAGAAAAACCCTGGACTTTCTGGCACTCCTCCCTTGGGTTGTTTCGCCCCCTGGTGGTGCTTGTTGGTAATGCTTATCAAGGTCAGCAGTACCTATCATCTGCACATTTTTGGTAAAAATACACACACTAATTGTTTCTACAGATTGAGGTCACTCATCCCAGAAAAAGTACTCCCATTTTTCATCAGCTAAAGGGGTGGCAGCGCATCTGTCTTCCGTTTAAAAGAAAACTGATGTAAGAAGAGTATCGGTGTAATTCTTGTCTCAAAGCTGTCAGGCTCCATTTGCTAAATTCAGCTCAATGTTCTGCTTCCCAGAGTGGCTTCTAGCATCTTGGATGAGCAGGGTGTAGTAACCACGTTAGAAGCTGGTACTAGGCCTGGAGGAGCAGACATTCACTGCGATAGTGAGTTCTGGTGGACTCTGGACAGACAGGAGCAGCAGCACCTCCTCAGGGACCCTGCCTCCTCAGGGATGGCAAGCACGCCATCAACTCTTCCGAAGGCAGGGGAATGTCATATGCTGTGTCCACCAACGTATCCTGAGCTATCTGACCACATACATCTCAAGGGAGCAAGGGGCTCCTTAGATCTAGAACTCTCCCCGGTGCCTGCTGACTTCACAAGACTATCTGCTAGATCTTCCACCCAGCCAGAATAAATTGGATATGGGGGTTTTGTAGTCTCTGCAACATATGCAGCCAATAATCCAGGCATCTGAAGGGAATGGTCAGGGAGAGGGGCCACAGCTGCTCTGGGGCTCCATTCCACTCAACAGCAGCAGCTGCCTTTGCTCAAAGCAAATAGTTAAAAGGTGAGTTGGAGCACTACACACAGCCCCGGGCAAGACAGCCACCAGAAGAGATGACTGGGAGTTGAGCCCTGGGTCCTGTATGAGCTGAAGATTAGGGATATGGTCAGGTCACAGAACCTGGACATAACTCAGCAGCCACTTGCTTCTGGTGGCCAATACCCCTTTCCAGTGCTATCA